ATTTAGTGATTCATTATGTAATCGTGAGGCATGACTTGCAAGTGTGGCGGCCACAGCTTTGGTCCGTACCCGTCAACTATGAGTGGTACTCGAGGTTCTCAGGACCGCCGGATGAGATTAGGATGTCCAATGAAATGAGCAGAAGAAGGGAAGGATCGAACCAGCTCTTCGGACTGTACAGTAGAGGTATCGCACTCCCTGAGATGGAAATGCTGATGTGTGTGTGTGTGTGATAAACATTCAGCCATGCAAACAAACATGGAACGAATGAGAGACAGACACAGACACACACAGACACACAGACACACACACACACACACACACACACACACGCACACGCATTAGCAATGTATCTTCCTAGAAAACAAAGAAAGGGGCTTCCTATCTAATAGGAAGTAGTTTGGCCCACCTGTTTTTTTTTTCTTTCATCTTTGATCTCCCCCACCTTCCTCCTCCTTAGTCTTTCATCTCTTGAGCGTCCAAACCATCCGTCCCACCCCTGGCTCTAACACACACACACACACACACACACACCAGCTCCCCCACCACCAGCCCTGTGCTCCGTCTCTCTCTCTCTCTCCCTCTCCCTCCCTCCCTCTTCAGGGCTGCTCAGCCTCACTGTTCAGCCCCACAAATCTTGAGCAAGTTATTTAAGTCAAGGACAGCATTAGCATGACAATCACAGCCTTCCATCTCAGGTCCTGTCTGCCAGGACTTGAGCTCAGAGAGGGCTTGGTGATTGAGTGGGAGAGTGAAGCACCTTGGATATGGGAACCCAAAAAAAAATTAAAAAAATAAAAAAGACCACATTGAGCTGTGATAACGTGGGCTATGAGAAACAACATTTTCACTCTTGATCAGAAGTGGAGCTCCCACTCGTGAGTGATGACTGTTGGACCGGGCCAGGCTTTCACCTCCCACGTGCCCGGTCCGCTGTTTCCAAACAAATGTATAATAGCAGTGTAATAAAACAGGTAATTGTATTAACACATATCAGCATCTTTAACCAGATTAGGGTGGGGCATCCCTATTCCTTAGCCAGTGTGGGGGCATCCATCCTTATTGTTATATTACATTTGAAGAATTTAAACCCATGGCAGCCTTACATAATCTGAAATCGCTGCCTTTTATGTGACACACACACACACACACACAGTAGAGTGGATTTCTAACTGACCTCACATAGAAAACCAGCAGTGTTCATGTTCAGATATTCAACACGGCTTTCAGTCAGATGAATAATCTGATGATGGTGGGGCCCTCGGAGAAGGGGGAAGAAAAAAAAAAAAAAAAAACGGGGTCCTTCTCACGCTCACAGAGGTTCAACGGCACACACACACAAAACACACACACACACACACGGCTGACACGCTGAGCCAAAGACCATCGCGTGGTGAAAAAATACATTTATTGGAATCTGTGTCAATGTAGAAAAAAGTGAAAACTGGCTTAAGGTTTTTTGTCACAGTACCACAGGTGAATATTCCAGCAGCTGTCTGGTGATCTGAAAACTAAGCCAGCAAGTTTGTCTGGGGCAGTACGTCCGCTACTGATGACGACAGAGAGGGCGGCCTAAAGCAGCCTGTGATAACAAACACATCATCTCACAGACACGGAAAAAAAGGTCAGACTGCTCCTAAGACACACCACCAGCAAATACACATGTTGTACAGTAAAAGTTAACCTAGACCAATTTTTTCTCTCGGTTGAATGCGGCTCTGTTGTGGCACCGTCCCAAATTTCTTTCTAGTAACTAGAAAGCCAGGTTTCTTTTTCTTTCTTTTTTTTTTTTTTAATAGCCTTTTCATTCTAATACCAATGTGTCATGAGGAAAAGGTTCTCAGTGTTTATGTATCAAGACATGATTAAAAAAAAAAATCGTAGGCCTAAAATACAGCTTTAGATGAACAGCAACACGTGACACGTTGCATTGCGTCTTTATTTGAACACAAAATTGGGTCAAACTGTGGAAGCAATGTCTGTAAAACTGAATACATCCTTACCGATTCCAAAGCAATCGAGAGGACGAGCATTAGCCAGATGCTACTAATCATACACACTTGCTTATCCGTTAGTGTGAGCACCTTTATAAAAGCAGTGATTTGCTAGTCTGGAGCGTTTATAGGCGCTAACACAGTGCCAAGACGGATCTGTACACCAGGAATAATCTTACAGGCTCGTCTCTTTGCTGCCCATAGATCTGGAGAGAGTTAGGAGGTCAGGTCCAAACTTTTTGTGACACATTCTTTTGTGAAAAAGAGTACTGACAAATGCAAAAACGCTCAGAACAGTTGACCATCCTCGCAGGAGTGGACGTCCAAGCGAGGTAACACAAAGGTCACTCTCTCAGTGCAAACTGCCCAGAGCTACAGAACATCTCAGACTCTGCAGGCCTCAGTTGGCATGTTGAATGTTAAAATTTGTCATAAAAAAAGAAGATTTTTTTTTTTTTTGGACGTTTATGCTTTGTTGAAGGTGTTACATCTGATTAGGACACAAGACCTCCGGAACAATGTCCTGTACAGAACAAATAGCGAGTGGAGATGCTCATTTACAATGCAAAGCTCCACTCCTGGTGAGAGCTAAACACGGTACATCAACAATGATCTACCTTGTGGCCACAGAGCCTTGCGGTCTTAGCACCGAAATAGTCTAAATATGAATGGGAAAACTCGGCAGAGATTAGGTCTGTGCAAAACAAATGTCCTGAACCTCAAAGAACTGGGAAAGAAAATGAGATAACGCGGCAAAAAAAGAGTTAGCCAAAACTCTTCCACAGCTATGTGAGCGATAGGGAACCTTTCAAACAAAGCACTCTCTTTCCTAGTTATTCCTGCTAAAGACGCCTTTAAAAGACGGTGAGTCATAGGGATCCTTTGGTTTGAACACAACCTTTTTCTGAATTTTCGGATAGCTTCAGTCAAATAAACAGACATTGCAACGTGTCATGCGGTTTTGTTCACCCAAAGTTGAATTGACCTCATTGTAGGATGGGATGATTTTATTTTTCACGTGTCCTGATACTTAAATCCAAAGAAAAAACAAAAACATTCCTTTCGAACACGACTGTAAGTGATCAGTTCTTTTCTTGGAAGCCCAACGTGAAGGGCGTTACATGTCTCCTCACAACATGATGGGAACTTTAAAAAAAAGGCCATCTGAAAACAAAAAGGTAATTTTTCTAAAACTCAGATACTGAGTATTATCATTGAGAGGTAAGATCATATTTTTTTTCTCTTCTCCCCCATACAACATTCTTTACATATAGACTGTATTTTATTTCTTAAATATCTTTAAATCTCATATAAAATAATTCATCGGAAACCATTTCTATGTACAAAGACACGAGTGCACAGGATGGAGTTTAGAGTTGGTGTGCATGCGGGCGGAGCTTGGCGGGAGCGGTTTTGCGGCGTGTGGTTATATGCGCTGCTTGGATACGTTTCGGCGCCGGTTTGGCCTGAAGCGTCATATTCGGTATCACCGTTCACAAGTTCTCTTTTCGAAAATCAGCCCTCTGAATACTAAGGTTTGGCCTTCTGAGTTGCGAGCCTTCAAAGGCCTGACCGGACAAAAAAAAAAAAAAACAGTCTGCCCTTCAACCATTGGCCAAGAGACAGTAGTGGAGACTATTTATGTTTACATGTATCGATAAGTACATGTTACCAGTTTGAAAAAAAAATAAAGACATCTGCTAAAAAATAAAAAAAATAAGCCCAAGTACGAGGTCTAATCAATTTATGGAGGGGTCAACTTTGGAGGGTTTGAGGGCTAATCATATTGCCATTAGTTTCCACTCATGAAAAAAAACACACAAGGATATAGCTTTGGGCTGGGAAACATGATAAACTTTGAGCATGTCCTCTTATTTTTTTCCTGTTTTTAATCCGGTTTTGGCCATTGCTTGAAGAGATTAGCATTTGTCTTTCATAACCGTTGGAGGCTGTCCACGGGATCATTTCCCAAAGTGGCCATTTACGCAGCTTCTGTTTCCTTTTAAGGACCAAGGTGACGTCCCCTATCCCTCCCTCTCTCTCTCTGTAATGCCTAAACATCTGACTTTAAGTGTAATCGGAAAGCTGAAGCCGCACGATGAGGTTGAAGTGAAAGGGAAAACTGGCTGTTGGGACCGGAGCTCTACCTGCCAAAAAAGCAGCGGGTCCAAAACACTGGCTGGCAGCGGCTCAATCCACAGTGGCCATCGTCTGACTCTCTCCAGGAAAGAGGAAACAACAGTGAAGACATATCAACACCAGAATCAATACCAACCTTGATGGGAGAATACCGAGTTTCGCTTCTATTTTTTTTTTTCCTTCTTTTCTTTTTTCTTCTCACAGCTTCGTCGGCATCCAAACGCTGTCTTTGCTTATTGTCGAGGAAATCTCTGGCAGATACTCACAGTTGCTCGACAGAATGGCGAAAAAACAGCCTTGTGGAGTCTAAAATTGCTGGTTTAGTCGTCTAAGACGAGGATGCCAAGAGTTCTTTAAAGAGGTTCGTTGTCGACGCGGACGATTGGTACTTTCAGATTCAAAGTGTAAAGAAAAAAAAAAAAAAAAAACAGCAGCGTGTTGCCTTGGAGCACTAACACACAGTTTCATACGCACGACCACTCATTTTCTTTTACACACACAGACACACATATATAAATATATATATATATGTGTGTGTGTGTGTGTTTTTAAGCATACATATAGAGATATGTATACGTACATATATGTAAATGTTAAGAGCAAGAGAGAGACATCTGTATTAATATGAAATACCTTCAGTTGGAGCTGATGGTAGGCTGTGACACACATTTAACAGACTTTTATGAGAGAGATTCTGTCACCGGGCGCTCCTCAGTGAGCATTTGCATGACGTCAGACTCCTGTACAATAAAACAGCGCACATAAAAAACCTCTGGACATTAAAAACTAAAATCTCTCCGCGCCGATCGGGACGTTCAGATCCTCAATTCGATTCTCGGTCACGTTTATTTTTCGCCCCCCGACACACTACACAGTAGTTTCGTTCTTCCAGGGTCCGGTGCGTATATTCCCCGTGCTGTCCGAGGCGAACAGGAGTCCTTCGTGCAGGCCCCCCTTCAGGATCCCGTTCTGATTGGGCGGGTTCTGGGGGTAGGATTGTCTGCGCGCGGCGTGCACCTCCAGGTGGCGGTGCGCCGCCGTGGCGTCCTCCTCGGCCGCCTTGCCGCAGCCGCACAGGAAGACGCCGGCGTCCGGCGCCTCGGCCGGGCACAGGGAGGGGAAGAGGTCGGCCTGGGAGCAGCAGATGTGCCGGTGGCAGGGGTTGTGGCACACCATTGGCTCGTGGGCGTGGGCGTGGCAGGCGTGGTGCCCGTCGTGGTGGCCCTCGAGGGCCAGGTGCGGGCAGACGTGGGCGTGGTGCTCGTGCGCGCTGCTGCGGGGGCTGTCGGTGCGCGAGCTGTGCGCGCTGCCGCCGTCCACGCTGGACGGGATGTGGTAGGCGTACTCCCTCTCCCCGGCCGCCGCCGCCGCCGCCGCCGCCGGCCCGCACGCCGCGGCCCTCCGGCCGAAGCGCCGGCCTTTAGTCCTGGCGCTGCTCTTCAGGCAGGGGTGCAGCTGGATGCCCGGCCGGTAGCCCTCGGCGTCGGCGTGCAGCAGTACGTGGGTGGCCGCCGCCGCCGCCGGCTGCTCCTCCGCCGCCACCGCCAGCTGCTGGCTGTGCAGCGCGGCGCAGCACGCCGCCGCCGGCGGCGCCAGGCAGGTGGCGTGGTTCTGCGAGGAGGGGAGGAGGGCCGCCCGCTTGCAGCGGGCCGGGCAGCCCGCCGGCGCCTCGCACGGCGAGTCGTGGTGGCAGTGGGCGTGGGCGTGGCCGCGGCCCGGCGTGTCCCCGTTCACGTTGAGCTTGGGCCGCGGCGGGACGGCGGCGGCGGCGGCGGCGGCCGGGCGGCGGCGCCGGGGGCAGCAGGAGCACCAGCAGTGCCAGACGTCGTCGCGCTTGGCGCAGTGGTGGATGAGCACGAAGAGGCCCAGCGTGACGGAGAAGGCACCGTACAGGCAGCTGAAGACCATGTCCAGGAAGTGGCCCTGCGACACGGCCAGCGCCCCGAAGGTCCAGGTGGCCAGGAAGAGGAAGAGCGTGAAGGCCGCCGTGCGCAGCTGCGCCTTGAAGGAGTGCTCGTTGGCCAGGAGGGCGGGGTTGACGGGGACGCCCGGGCAGCCGGCCGGACAGTGGCCGCCCCCGCCGCCGCCGGACCCCGCCGCGGCCAGGGCCCCCGGCTCGGCGCCCTGGTGGCAGTGGGCGGGCACGTCCACGCCCGCCAGCCGCCGCCGCTGCTCCTCCGGCAGCGGCTTCAGCTCGTACTTCTTCTCCGGGTGCCGGCGCAGCTGGACGAAGGCGCAGAGGAAGTAGACGCAGGTCACCAGGGCGATGAAGGCCGCGGGGCCGAAGAAGGCGCCCAGGCTGGGCTCCCACGCCATCCAGCAGCTGGAACGCAGAAAAAAACACCAACGCGTTAGTTAGCTTCATCTGGTTTCCTCACATGTTTTTTTCCCTTTTTTTTTTTTTCCAATCTATCCATACATGAGACCCCCCATTTGTCTGAAACTGACTGAAGCAGAAAAAACATAACGGTAGCACAGAAATGGTATCAGGCATGGGCTCAGGATGTGAGATGGAAAAGTGCGGGACTCACTATGGCGCCTGCTCCCCGCTGCCGTAGTTGTCTATGTTGACGGCGGCTGTGACGCCGCAGATGACGAGGGGCACTCCGCCGCTGACTAGGTAAAATCTGTGGGGTGAGAGAGGGAGAGACAAGAAACAGACGAGGTGAGGGGCGGTGGTGGGGGGCGTTCAACGGCAATCCCGGAGTGGAATTTCTCTGGGAGAAAACAATGAGATGGGAAGAAGAAGAAGAAATGGTAGACAAAAAAAAACAAACAAGCGGAATTCTGGATGTATGCAGTGAGCGAAAGTCATAAAATCACCTTTGAAAAACTGTGATTTATGCCAACTTAAGTGCATTTCCATAGTCTGAGAGACAGACAGGGACACCGAGGGGGGGGGGGG